CTATTCCAAGTTATTTTCTTATCTTTGCAAAATATTATCTTTGTGAAAGATGAGATTTATAGTATAATGATTTGCAAAGATAAGAAAATAGCTTAGAATAGCAGGTCATCAACCGGTCAGGGACCAGTGAATGAAGATGAGGTGCAAATGTTGGATTATTCATGAATAACCAAAAAGTTGGATTATTGTAAGAAGACCGCTAAAAGGTTGGATTATTAGTTTCCATTTTCCCTTCATATTATACAAAGCGTCTTGAATATCATTCACACATAAACCATCCATAAACAACATAATAGGTAATTCATAAAGCAGCGGAAAACATTGTTTAAAACAAAAGGGCCACACAGGGCTATTCATGAGCACGCAGGCTCTATAATAAAATATCCATGAGCAAATTGTTAATGTTTCAAATAGAATGGAGGAAGCACGAACCAAGTCTTCTCTCCGCAGATTCACTCGATCAACGAGCGCAGGATGCAAGCTCAAGCCTCAACCTGAAATGGTGGTGGGACGCCCCCGAAGGGGTCAGTACTCTATACGGCTATAAAGTACTAGTGTGGCAGGCATCTAATAGATATACAACAAGTATTTCAAACACAAGACCCTCAAATAGGGTGATAGTACATTATGATTGTAACCTTAAGTTACCCCGTTTAAAAATATACTTACTTTATAAAAAGTCAAGTAGTCGGCCCGTGGGCCCATGTTCATTTGGAAATCACCATTCCCAACCCCGTGACTATAAGCCACGACAACTCCTAGAGTCCAACCCTAGTACATGACATTGTATTCTAGAGCTCGGCTCTACCACATCACCATACAATTCATATACCTCGGGTCAATTTCCCTACCTTGCGTTCTAGAGCTCGGCTCTATCACATCATCACGCAAGTCCTAGAGCTCGGCTCTAGCTATACAATACATAGACTCCAAGTCTACACCTTACATGCATTCTAGAGCTCGGCTCTATCACATCACCATGCATTAAGGTCCAATTCTCAAGCAACCCTATGCCTAGAATTGACATATCATTAAACTACCATGGGTCATCCTTAAAGACTTCCCATAACTTAACCTTAGTTCCATACTAAGTTATTATATACACTTGAACTATATTCAAGTACCTTTCATACAATCCAATCCCTAGGATCAATTTAATCAACAAGTTCCAATAATCACTAACTAGTATTTCAATACTATTAAGATTATTGTTATCATACCATTATCCTCATTATTTGTAATTCTCTACATATTTATAATTATGTAGCAGCAACTTAAGTATTCAATCTCAATACACAAATATTCATTTATGTATCCACATAATTCATACATGAGCAAAATGCCTATTTCACAAAATAGTTCATTTATACTCATTTAATCTCATATTATTCATACATTCTCAAATCATTTCAAATTTCATTCTTTGGTAACTATATCAATATTTCATCAATATATAATCATCATAATCCATGAAAAATAATGATTTAAGCATTTAGGTAATCTCATGCTTAACCTACTAGTTGTAATCAATTAGATGTCAATCCTCACCTTAATTGAGCTTTAAACTTTTCCTTCTTGATCCAATGGTCAAAGCTTTGGCCACGGTGGATTAAGAACTGATTCCTTGCTTAAATATGAGTTTTAAACCGCCTCCCCAAAGTGCTAGCTCACCCTCAAACGTTGATACGAAAACAGCCCCTAGAATGGGTGTTTTCCGGTCAACTCGTCTCCTAGTTTTTCCAAGATTTACTCTAGGTTAGTATCTAACCTTTACATCAATTAAATAACTTTTCAAGGACATATTATACACTTGGATTAGTGTACAATAGTTCCACCAATCGTTCATATCATTTGGAAAATGAAAGGAAAGATTTTGGGGTTAACAACTCACTTTAGAAGAGTAGATCCGTTTCTGCGAGGTTGTGTTTTTCTCGGACGATTTGGAAGCCTTCCACTACTCAGATTGATGCAAACCAGACCTTCACGGATTCCTCGTCTTGAGAGCTTTCTTTTGATATCCACCAAACAGCTTCAGCACTCTCAGAGCTCGAGTTTACAGACCACTGCTCGCTCCAGATCGATTTTTGGATGATTACTCTCTCCTCTCGAACAGAGACCACTCAATTATGAAAATAGACTTCAAAAGCTATCCAAGGACACCTTATACACGTTGTTTGGTCGAGTATAACTCCCATAATGAGTGGAGACAAACAGCACACCATTTTGTGCGAAAAATAGAGATGGTGGCCCAACATTTGATCCCTATCAAGTCTTGTGCAGCTCCTCTCCATGGTGGTCGGCCAAGGTAAGTCTTCTCACCCATTTTTATTTGTCTTGCAGGTACTAATATCATGTGGAGTGGTTCCCCATTGATCCCAATTATTTTGGGGTCCAAAATATCTACCAATACTCCCAAAAATGGAAAGATGGGTCCTATTGTTTTATCTTTGTCAAAAGATGTCTTTTTGTACTCATCCTAATTTATTTAGAACAAGTCAACTTCTTACATCACATTATTGATCTCCAATATGTGTAGGATCATCTCAATAATTTACATGATGAAAATTATAAAAGAATACGGGTTTGAACAATACAATATTCAATCATGTACTACGTAAAACATTAATCGTTTTTTCCATCGTTTTGAAATCGGAAATTCAATACATCACTTTGAATTTAAGAATGGAATTTTCAAGGACGTTCGGGTGCGGTGTCACAACGAAAGCCGCCCAGCTTTTGTGAAAGCCGCCCGGCTTTCACCTTCTGTCCAGATTTTTCACTCTTGAACGGCCTAGAACGAGGACGGATCGAGGGGTTTCGCTAAGGCAGCTAGTTGAGCACATCACAAGGTGAGGATGACTGACTATATTGCTTATAATCCTTGGGTTAATTTCATAAGATTACCTAGGTTAATTAAATGTGATTTTCATGGATTATTAATGATTAATAATGCCTAGATGAAAATATTATTGTTTATGAATAGAAGATGCCTAATATACAAATTTATGAGTAAATGGTGTATAGTTGTGCATTATAAGTATGATGATATGATGATTGTATAAACCATGAATTTTTGTGATGAAATATACTTTTACTTCATGTATAGGAATCATGAATGGATAAAAGTGATAATTTTGATATTGAGATTAAATCATATACGGATTGGGGAAATTCATAGGAATGAACCTTATAACTATGAATTAAAGAGCTTGGTGGCTTAAAGATCAATGTATTAGTATTGAATTTACTAGTCGGAAATGTTAGTATGAAAGGTGATAGAACAAATCCTAAGGACTTGGATTGTGAAAGAGGTACCTTAAGTAGTCTCATGAGATGTCCTAAGGTAGAAATGGGTAAACGCTAAGTTACCGTAGGAGTAGACCTCAAAGGCTACTCATAGTAGATGAACTCTAGGCATAGAATTTGCTTAGTGAACTAGTATCGTGACTAGAGGAAGCTTCTAGCACGATGAAGAATGACTGGAGGAAGCCTTTAGCATTCATGTAGGACGACTAGAGGAAGCCTCTAGCGTAATGTAGGATGACTAGAGAAAGCCTCTAGCATAACGTGATGCGACTAGAGGAAGCCTCTAGCACAACGAATGTAAGGTGATTAGAAGAAGCCTCTAACACCAAGTGGAGTGACTAGAGTAAGCCTCTAGCACGATAAAACATGACTAGAGGAAGCCTCTAGCATGGTGAACTAATATGGATAGGCGTGGCTCGAAGTCACGGGGAAGGGGTTGAATGTTTTCAAATTAAACATGGGCCTTCGGGCCGACTACTTGACTTTATATATAAGTAAGTATATTTTCAAAGAGGGTAACCAAGGATTATGACCTATAATATAATATCACTCTATTTGAGGGTCTTGGAAATTGAAACATTGATTATACTTAGTATAGTTGTCATTGTACTTGTCAAATGCTTCCAAGTACTGACCTCCCCTTCACGGGGGAGGCCACCTCACAGTTTCAGGTAGGGGATAAAGCTTGCTATCTTCGTCCGTTGCTCCGGGAAGCTCAAGGAGAGAAGAAGTGGTTCGTGCTTCCTCCGTTTCCATCTAAAAACATATTTAAATTAATGCTCATGGATAATATTTTTATTGAATAATTATTTGGGGGCTTGTATACCCATGTTTGCCGAAGTGTGGCATAAACACTTGTATTAAATGTTTCCGCTGCTTAATTAAATATTTTACATTATGATTGTTTATGGATGTACTATTGTGAATGGTATTCAAGACGCCTAGTATAGTATGGATGAGTTGGACTGCGGTTAACTATTCGTACTGTACGGCGGGTTGTTGACGTGTCCGGTAGGTCCGGGGCGTGACATTTTAGCTCAAATGTGACCCCCATATCAAGAGTTGGAAAAGTGATACATAAGGGTTTTTGATTAAGATTCGTAGCCGTGAGCTCCCTCAATGTTCTCGTTTCATTAGCCATAGTGTTTGGCTCTTCGGTGTCGCTAGAATGAGAACTAGCACTTGATGATTCTCCCGAGTCGGAGCTTGAGAATTTATTTTTCAACCACTCGAGAGTTTGTTCTATTTCGGGGTTTGAGTGGTAGGTGATTTCGTTCAGTGAATACTTTTAAAACCGCCATCCGGTTTGGCGACTTACCCCGACCAGGGTTAAGCCCAGCAGTATATCCGTAAATACTTTTAACCCAACCATTTTTTCGTAAATACTTAATTAATTAGCATTAATACGGGAAAAAATTCTTCCCATTTACCAAAGAAATTATTGCTAAAAAAGTTCAAAAAGTGTATTATTTCCGTGACACCATCTTTTATCTAATTTCCCTTGCTCCGTGTATAGTAGTAGTAGATTAAGAATATTGAAAGAGGATATGAATTATTGAGGGCATGATAGGAAGATAGTGGAATAATGTGATGAAATTTAGGATAAATCCAAAAAAAGTTGTTGTAATAGTGTATTATTTTCAGAATTATTGAGGATATAATGAGAAGAATAAAAAATGAGATTTTTTTTTGTTAGGGATGAAAAGGAAAGTGGGAAAATTTTGTAGGTCAAGAAGGCAGCTAGTACTGAATGAAGTGGATTCTGGATTCTGGAAGTAGAAGGCAGTACCAGATTCGCTAGCAATATTTGTCAAACATGTACTCCTATCTGTTTTTGTTTTGATTCTGGATTCTGGAAGTAGTTCTGCATTTGGATAATGATTGTGGCTCGTTATGGAGGATCACTTTCACATCCTCAGTTCGGATTGTGCAATTCAAGGATTTTCTGCTCATCCGAACCAGGCGTCACGTTAAGGCGGCGAGTACTGAATGAAGTGGACAATGAGCTGAGCAGAGGAGATGAGAGAGCTGCACTGTCGCTCGTCAAAGAATTGCAAGGAAAACCAGGCGGCCTTAGGTGTTTCGGCGCCGCACGGCAGGTTCGTTTGTCGGAGAAAGCGCCCAAAACATTACTTGTATCTGCATCATACAGTTTTAAAAGTTTTTTAACTGATTCTAATGGCCTTGTTTTTTTCAGTTGCGAATTCAAACTCTTGAGTGAACCTATGTTTTATTTTAATTGTGGTTGGATAGATGGAGTCCAATTGAATTTCTATATGCTCATATGTGACAAAGTACTTCTCTGCAGATACCCCAACGACTGTATTCCTTGGACGAATTGAAATTGAATGGAATAGAAACCGTGTCTCTTTTATCACCAGTTGACTCCACACTGGGCTCTATTGAAAGAATCTTGCAGTTAGCGGCTATATCTGGCTGGATTGCGGCTTGGAATATACTCCATTTAAATCCTCAACAGATTCTCTTCATCTCTTTGGGACTGATGTTTTTATGGACATTTGATTCGGTAAGATATTGAGCTATGCATTTTGTTTTAAAGACTTCTGGGGATAATGTGTTATGCTTGCTGCATTTCGAAAAAGAAATACTCGGTATCATTTTGTTGATGCTACTTAAAATTTGCTCAAGTTGGTATGAAGCTCATTGGGTATGATTTGGTCTTGTCATTGATTTTCACTGTTTCTGCTGCACGTTTTAAAGAAAAAACGTTAAATATTCGGACTTGATATGAATTGCTAATACAAAAAATATGTCCCCAAAGTTAGTATCGCAGTCAAGAAGAAAACTTTATTGTAGTCCAAATTGTATTTATTTGTTGATTACTTTGATGGTTTCTTTGGGACATGCATCTCTTGATGTAGTTCCAAGCATGTCTTTCCATGCTTTGCCATACTCTAGTCTTTGTCATGTGTTCTGCATAGGTCTCCTTTAATGGAGGGCTCAGTGCATTGGTTCTTGACACTACTGGTCACACCCTCAGCCAAAAGTACCATAACAGGGTTACTAAGGTTAGACTCTCTTATACAGTAAAAAAAAAAGGTTAGACTCTCTTATAAACATGTCAAAAGAAAATAAGATATGATGCAGTTTGTTTACGGAGAATCTTTTTCATTCTTGTTTGATTCAGATGTATAAACAGAAGAGTAGAATCATTTTTGTACTCACACTCTGCACTTAATAGTTTTCTTGACACAGCAATACTTTTTTGGCCTAAATAAATGCAATTCAAGGGAAAGGACCATAACCTTTTTTAAGAACTATCTTCTCAAGAAACTTCATGTAGTTTTATAAAATAATTCATAAAATATTATTCACTTTTCTACGTTATCATTAGTTTCTCATCAATACCAGACCATTTTTTCCATCTATGATCCTATTTAAAAGCATAATACATCTCATAACACAGAATAATACTGTGTATATTACTTGCTCTTATTTCCTAAAAAGATTCTCTTTTTTAGAATGGCTTTAAAGTCACTAGTCAATCTTATGATACAGCATGAAGCAGGGCATTTCTTGATCGCCTATTTGCTAGGAGTCCTTCCTAAGGGTTATACACTGACAAGTTTGGAAGCTTTCAAGAAGGAAGGATCACTGAATGTTCAAGCTGGGACCGCATTTGTGGACTTTGAGTTCATCGAGGAGGTTGGTTGGCTTGCATGTTTTTCCACATTTTTCTAGGAAATTCTAGGTGTTTAAATGCAGTTAGCTTGAACTCTTGAAGAATCCTTCCACCTTTGCATCCAAGAACGATCATTAATTTTTTTAGGTTAAATCTTGATATCCCTGGGGTGTATCTTGAAAGCTCATTAGGAATTTTCAATTCTGTTTGTCCACGTCAGGTTATGTTGTATGCTGGCCTTGTGTCAGTATTTGTTTGTAACGTTATGCATCCATTATCAGAAAATATGAACCAAAGTACCAAACCCACATACTCAAAATTAGGGGCATGCACAAACCGGAAAACCAGACCAGACAGAAAAACTGAAACCGAGCTATCTGGTCCTGTTTTCGGCTATTAAAATTTTAAAACCAGTTTCAGATCCTGGTTCCAGTTAAAACCCGAATTATTTCGGTTCGAAGTCTTTGAACCAAAAAGCGGTTTTGTAATATTTTTAAATATATGAATTAATGTGGGGTATACTGTAGTATACTAGTATTTAATAATAGCAGTAGTATACTATTACTGCTACAATATTATAGTTCATCCCTTTGTTTTTATTGGCTTGAAAATTGAAATAGCAAACATATATTATCACAATATGATGTATTCAAATTGTTCCAGTCTTTGCTATCTAATACTAATGATAAAAAATGATAATAATGATGATAATAATAAATTTTAACCATCCTTCCTGTCTTGTCCGGTTATAAAGCGGTTAAGCCGGTTCAGTTCTTGTTGGAAAACGGAATAATTCCTGTCTGGTTTGGCTACTATTATTTTACAAATCTGGTTCTGCTTTGGTTCGTTCCAGTCCGGTTTTGAACCGGTGCACACCCCTACCCAAAATGTCCCACTCCAAAGTAAGGTCTGTGGAGGGAAATGCACACATACTTTACCTCTGCCCCTAGAGTTGAGAAGTGGTTTCATTGAAAACCCCTAGCTATAGGAAAATATTGAAGTTTAAAAAGGATGTAAGAATTTTGAAAATTCTTGAAAATTTGATGATTTCTTGTTTTTTAGTGGTAAGGGAAAGAAAACATTCATATGTGAAAGGGTAGTCTGAACAACACTTTTTCTTTCATAATTTTATTCTAATAAACACGTATGTCTTCCTTTGCAGGTCAACAAAGGACAAGTGTCAGCTACAGTAAAGCTCTTGCTTTTGATATCTATGCATCAATCATGACCATGTATTTTATCTGATCAGAAAGATATTGAATGTGCATTTTTTGGCAGATGCTGAACAGGTTTTCTTGCATTGCTCTAGCAGGTGTAGCAACAGAGTATCTTCTTTTCGGATGTGCTGAGGGGGGACTTGCAGATATTAACCAGGTTTAAACCGTTCCTTGTACGTAGTATTTCCTTAACAAGGACCAAGTGTCCAGTGTGAAGCAGTATTTGCTTGATTCGTTTGCTAGGAAAATTTTGGTCATTTTATGTAGGGGTGTGAATGGCTAATAAAAAAAAATCCTCCCGTGACATTACAGTTAGACATGCTACTTCGAAGCCTGGGGTTTACACAGAAAAAAACTGATTCTCAGGTGAGATGGGCTGTACTGAATACCATAATCATTTTGCGCCGTCATGACAATGCTCTAGCAAAGCTTGCAGAGGTAATGTCAGAAGGAAGATCAGTAGGCTCTTGCATTGACACAATAGAAGAAAACATAAGTGATGATGGCTGGTAACTCTTCTTAAGGGAAACACGCTAATAATATGTCGACTATACATGTTCTTTGAATTGCTTGCTTGTATTCTCACATCATCTTTCAGATCAATTCTGCAGCTTCTTGTCTGTATATAATTCATGTATAAGAGTATGTTTCATGCATGTACGGGTTAGGTGTAATGTTGATGACAAGCACCGGTTTCCAAAGTGAAGGTCACGGTTCGAATCTCATCCCGATAGAAAATTGACATTACTATAAATGCTATATATATAAATGCTATATATAGGTTAGACATTGTCAAGTTACATCAACAGCCTCAAGCATGGGTGAAAAATGAACAAATGAACCCCATGCGATTAAATATAGTACATTCACCAAATAAACTAAAACATCCATATATTTTCAGCACAAATTGAACTATGTTACTTAATTTTCATGTATGAACCTCCAGAAAAGAATATGAAAAAATTCATAAATACGAGTTAATAATAATGTTTTGCATGATGCTGTAATAAAAATAAAACTAACTATCTACCTAACTTATTCAAGATGAGTTAATGCTTTGCCTTACAGGCTCTGAGGCTCACATTACTTACTTTCAAGGAAAGTGCAATTTAATGACGTGCATCGGTGCATATGTCAATTTATTGTGATGATGTGTCTTTATGATTTCAATGCTTTACCTTAATTTGGCTGATATTTGAAAATATTGTGGCGGTGAAATTTGAATTCCATGTAAACAGAATTTGAGGGAATTAAATACGACTCAAACGTAGGGTTAGCCGCCGCTGGGGTCATTTCCGTTTTCGATTATTGATTGAAGAACGGTGCCAGGTTTTCATCGTGTTTTGCAGCACTCGTTTCCGTCGAGGTCCTTGTATACTCGGTGGCTGTTTTTTTATTTTTCGTTCTCGGCCGATACAAACGTAGGAAAAGGGAGAATCCGAAGGGGCTCTTTCGACGGAGGATATTGTCCATAATTACAAGAAGATGGCTATTGGCGAAGATGACAATGAACTCAACTTTGATGAGGAAGCTGGGGAGATTGAAGAAACCAAAGATAGAATGGAGTTTCCGGTGGTCGGAGTTGTACTTACGGACCGAAAAATCAGTTTTCAGGCATTCAAAGAGCTTTTGGCTTCAATCTGGCGTCCGGAGAAAGGGATCTCCATCAAAGAAATTGGAGATAAAAGGTACATGTTTACTTTCTATCATATTGTGGACATGAACCGTGTATTTGAGGATGGTCCTTGGTTGTTTGAGAGAGATCTGCTTCTCTTAAAAGCAGTTCAACCAGATGATATCCCTGAAAAGATGATTTTGTGTGAGACTGACATCTGCGTACAGGTCCACAATGCACCTTTTAAATTTAGAAACTTGGGTTCTGCTAGGAGAATTGAAAATTATATTGGCACTTTTATTAGCTTTGATAAGAACCAGTTTGAGGAAAAATGGAAAGCTTACATGAGAATTAAGGTGTGCATGGATATGAGAAAACCTCTGAAGAAGGGAACTAGTTTAAAAAAAGAGGGAATTGGACATTGGGTAGATTTTAAATATGAGAAACTACCTAATTTATGTTTCTTGTGTGGGGTGATTGGCCATTCTGATAAATTCTGCCCCTTGAAATATGAGGATGGTATTGTGTTGGAGAAAACTTTTGGGGTTGAACTTCGGGCTGGTGGAGGGGGGAAGACCAGGCTTACAGGGGCCAATAAATGGCTAGTGGAGAATACTTCGGGCTCGGGGGTGCTAGGTTTCAGCAGAAGATAGATCTTGAGAGTGAAGGCATAAAGGCACAAAACAGACGTGAGTTCTCAGCAGAGACATGTAACAATGTGTCAAAGAAGGACGAGATGGACAACACGAAGGATGTTCTGGGGGAGGCAAAACGCAGGAGGATTTGGGGAGGCCAAGCAAGAGAGGGTGCAGCTGGTGAGGGCATGTCACTAGATGACTCAAAAAATGGAGAGGCGGCGGGTTAGGACTGCTAGACCCTCCTGACCCGCTGGTGGTGCACTTGGTGTTTCTACTCAAGAGAACTAACTTTGGCGTTTATTTTTTGTGTTTTTACATTTTAATTTCCACGTTAAGACGATTGTGTTTTGTTTTACTTTCCTTTTTTGCTGTAAGGCCGATGCACTTGGATTGGGGGACGAGAGGTTTGTGGTAATCGTCGTTGCTTTGATTATGCCCAAGTTAGGATCATCGAGTTATATTGCTTTGTCAAAGGTGATTAACTCTGAGTCTGATCCAAGGGCGAATGGTTACATGAGGTCCTTTTGTTATTTCAAACCCAATCTGATTGCCATTTCATTAAGGGAAAATTGTCAAATAAGTCCTCGAACTTTCATAAAAAGGTCAATTAAGTCCTTCTATAGGAGGTTCTGTCCGGCTGTCGCGATTTGGGGCTGTTACCGGTGGAATTTTTTGATGAATTTTTTTGAGAATCTTATTCACCAAGTCTAGTTTACTCATATCAAATTTCAGCTAAAAATTCAATCGGGAACACATTCAAATTAATTCTTGAAGATAACTGCGCATTTTTGCGTTCTCGAATTAATTTGAATGCGCTCCCGATTAAATTTTTAGCTGAAATTTGGTATGAGTAAACTAGACCTGATGAATAATATGCTCAAAAAATTTCATAAAAAAATTCCACCGGGAACCGCCCCAAATCGCAACGACCGGATAGAGTCTCTTATAGAAGGACTTAATTGACTTTTTTATGAAAGTTTGAGGACCTATGTGACAGTTTTCCCTTTTATTAATGTAAGCCCCCTTCGATAAAAAAAGTATTTCGTATTTTTGATTTATTAGTCTCATTAGTCATTTTTTATATAAAATATGTACCTTTTAATCTTGCGTGCTAAATTCTTTAATCAAAATAAATAAGGTTGGAGTCAATTTTCTAGTTAAATTGATTGAAGTTAGTATAGATGATCATTTCAATTATTTTCATATATTTTTCATTACTCTATTTATAAAATATATTTTAAATATAATCTTTCTATAGTTCAACAAATTTAATGAATTCAATTAAAATTTCAATTTTAAAATTTCAATTCATCAATTTTAGTCAATTTCATTGTGTGAGTTAGCTTGTTGTTGGCAATGTTGGGTATCTATGGTGTTTGACGAGAGTGACGATTCTCCCATGAGCTATACTAGGAACTTGATGACTTGATGTCTTGATGTCATGCCCAACCAATCAATTAAGAGCGATTTTTCATGCGCAAGCTATGGTGGTGTATGAATCTGGTGGGAACCCTGTGGATACTTCGAGTGATCCACAAGGATTTTTCACAATTAGTCCGGCGAAGTCAGGATAATAATAAAACAATGAGATAGTACCCGAAATAGGACTAAAAGAGTTAGAAAATTCCAAAATAGAACTACCATGTTTTTATTCCCAAAATAGGACTAATTCCTCTCATGTTTTGGCAGTATTAGACTTCAAACATGGCAGTATTTTCCAAACTTGGCAGTAATTACTCTTATTTTGGGAATAAAAACATGACAGTCCTATTTTGGAATTTCCAAACTTTTTAGTCTTATTTCGGGAACTTTCCCTAAAACAATTATTTGTAATCATCGATGATCTAACGTTTTTTTGATCATCAACACCGACGACTTAGATTACTAACCAATAATAGTTCAGAGTATGGGTCAACAGACAAAAAGAAAATTGATAACCGTTATACCTCGAACCAGACTTGGAATTAATCGCCGTAGCAATATAATTCGTTGATCCATAATCGGGAAACAAAAGCCTAAATACGGTTACCAACTTCCTCTCATCTCCCACATCCAAAATCAACGTCTTACAACATGAACGATAAATAAAAAGCAAATAGCAAGAGAGACATAACAATCACTAAAAGAACAAACAAAACCAATAAAATAAATCTTCTTCAAAACCCTAGATTTGCTTGCGCTCCATGGCGGCGGCTCAGGAGGGGGTCGCGCCCGTCGCTCACTCGCCACAACCTCACCATCAGACATGTCCCCGAAGTTTTCCATGCAAATTCGTTGCTTGAACCTTCTACCAGCCCCTTGCTGCATCTCAAGGCTCCTTCGATCCAGCCGCCTCGAAACAGCCGCCGTTCGTCTCATCACCGTATTCAACGGGCTAGACCTTCTTTGTGATTGAAACCCGCGATCGGAGAAATGAGGAACCCGGACAACGTCTTCGACAATAGACAGCATCTTCCAAACAATCCAAAGAGACATCTAACAAATAAAGACTCGGAGATACGGCGGAGAGTCATCTCCGGACAAACCCTAGGCCGCCTAGACGGCATCTCTAGAGAGAGGGAACATCTTGATAGTTGATACAGCTACACTTGAGTTATCGATGATCTAACGTTAAACAAGCTAAAAGAGTGTGATAGTTTAACATTATGGTATATTTAAATGAGGTGTTTTACATTGGAACAAAATAAAAATTGAAAAATTCTTCTCTACTTTGAGGCTTTGAGCTTTAAATAATTGTTTGTGGTTAAACTTTATAGTACTTCAAAACTAAATACTACAAGTAATTGTAGAGATGATTTTAACTGTTCTCAGTTTTAATTGTAGAGATGGTTTGATTCTGGAAAAAATTGTTCCCAATTTTTCTATACACAAACTAAACTTGTAGTCTGGACGTATAACAACACTACCAAACTTACTGACAATAACAACAATAATAACAACACTACCCCGCGGCTCCCGCCTACAATGGCATATAGGCAAGTTGGATGTACACAGTTTTACTCATGTACAAGCACATAGTGACTGCTTTCGAATAACTCATGAAAATCGCATCAAAAATTGCATTGGCCGACTCTTACAGGCCTTGCTTCATAAAAAAGAATTGTTGGGATATATTATCCCGGCCTATTACTGTTCAGGAGCCCAAGACATTATCAGTACGGAGCCCGAGCAGCTAGGTCCATTTCGGCCCATTCTGGCCCACTTTGGCCATTAGGCCCGGCATTGGCCCGTTGGCCCATTAGGGTGGAGGGCACCCTTCCCCTTTCCCCTATAAATATGAGGCTTCCCTCCATGTTTAAGGATCCTCTTTTAGCTTCATCTTCCTCCTTCTTTTAGACTTAGCTCAATACTCCATTAATGGGAGCTTGTACAATGTAATTGTGAGGAGAGCCCTAATGAGAAAGAGAGGGCTTGGACATTAGCCTAAAAAGTCCCGTGGTTTTCTCCCTTTCGGGTTTCCACGTAAAAACTGAGTGTTCATACATATATTTACTATATCGTGTTGGATTAAACTCAACAAGAATATACGGAGTAGATAGTTTATTGAGTGATTTTATTTTATTCCAATTATATTCATGGGTAAAAATAGTGAAACTTTTTCAAAAAAAAAACGTTGTGCAAAATTGTATACAAAATATTCACTAGATACAAATTAAAAATTATCTCAACAAATACCCTACTTCTTTATGAACTGCCCTACCACAATTCAAGTCCTTGATGTATTTATTCTAGAATTGGTTATGTCCTAAACTCTTACACTTGGCTAGTAAGTGGCCGCAGAAGTGCAGAACTCTATAGGTTCATATCTCATCATCTCATGTAACGAATGTTTGTGCAACTTCTTTATATGGCCGGGGTTGTAGAAGGGACTAATTGAGATTTTAAATTAAACCAAAAACTATATGTGATGGTACGTAGTGTAATATTTGTATGATTTTTTATCTTAAGAATATGAGAGTAATATTTCAAGTATCTCAAATTTTGAATAAGGGACTAATTTAGATTTCATTAAAACCAAAATTATATGTGATTGTATAATATTTTTTATAATTTTTATCAATAGGAAAGCAATAATTTAAATATCTCAAACTTTGAATAAGTTTAAGTTGAAGTCTCAATTTGCATGTGTAAATTAAATACTACGTATCATTTAGGCATTCATGAATTAAACATAGCAAGTGTAGTTGGCTAGCAATGTTTAATATTAACAATGTTTAAATATCATTTAGGCATTCATGAATTAAACACAGCCACAATATACACAGTTACACACTAACACACTTCTTCCTCTCTAGAGGTCAGAAATTGGAAATTTATGCTCAATTGCATTTATAACAATTTTGTCACTAATTGCACTATATACACATAGACATTCAGAAATTATAAGTTTGGTCTAATCTGATCTGGGACTAAAAATCCTAAATACAAGAACATAGACATCCCCGGGAAAGAACTTAGATCAAACTAGACTAGATAAAACTAGTTTACCCAAAAAAGAATTTCAAACAATCCTCATTGAATGTTTTTTATGATGGTAAACCGATTTATCAGCCTGACTTTCACACTTTCACAGTTTCACATGCATTTTTGCATTCCCGAAAAATTGCAATTTATGAATCTATGACATCAATGAGATTATTATCACAGGTCGAGTGCTATTATAATATGTTACTACGGGTACTAATTATATACAGAGTATTTTAATTACTTCTAAAGTAATTGGGAGTTTGGGACCCGTTCATCTGGTCTAGTTTGATAGCCCTATATTTTACAATAATAAATGACGAGGGGACTGGACATTTTTTGATAGTGTAAGTTGAATTCAAACTGCCAAATCTAATAATTGCCAGAACATCGAATGGTACAACCGACAAAGAAATCAAATGCGATTAGGGTTTCTTAATTGGGGCACAAAATTGCATTAATGCCACTAGTTATGGTACCATTTGTGCTCTTTACTTGCAGCCTACAAGCAATCAAGTAAATACACAAATGGAAAGTTAAGTAAGCACAACCCATGACAATTCTACTTATATAGATTACAGATTCAATAATTTATGGACGTTTCCCATCCATGAATTGCAGTTTAGCAAGTATACTTAGGACCAGTAGGTATATAATATTAGCAAAGGTGCTGATTCTCTCAGATCAGCCCCCCACTCCCAAATTCACACTTCTTCCTCCCCTTTAAAGGCCAGAAGTTGGAGCTGTAGCTAAACTGCACTTAAAATAGTTCTGTGACTTATTGCACTTTATATATATACAACACAACCAAGAAGCGGAATCCCCAAATAAAGAAACTTGTACCAGTTAAGCACAACAAGAAGCCTTGACACTAGAATCACCCAACCGGGGCCCTTCTTGGAACCAGAGACATACAGAGGGACAATCTTTAAACTCCAAAATTTTCAACTGCTGGAAGGTTTCAACTGTCTGAACTCACGAAGTCACTAATCTCATCCATGACGGTGTAAAAGTGGTCATTATTTGGCAACAAGTAGAACCCAATCGTCGCCTTCTCTAGATAAATAAGTTTGACCTCTTGCCCAGCCTTCTTAAGCCCATCTACATAAGCCATCTGCCAATCCTGAACCAGGTCCAAACCGGCCACGACCACAAGGCTCCTCGGGAACTTAAAAACCCCTTCAAGGTGGATCCTGTTCGGACCAAACGGGTTGCAAGCCGGATGGTCCCTATCAGCCCCTTCAGGGAGAAAGGCTCTCCAATACCAATCTCTGTCCTGAAGGGTGACAAAATATTTTCCGTCTAACTGCTTTTCCGACTCAGTTCTCTTTTCTCCTCCAAACATAGGATTAAGCAATATGCTCCCTAACACTTGTATATCTGACTCGGCTGCTCTGAGAGCCACATTATGGGCAATATTGCCCCCAGAGCTATCTCCTGCTAAATAAACATGAACTTTAGAGTCCTTTTTGCTTTCCATCCATTTTCTTGAACTGACCCACTTCAGAGCAGTCCATCCATCATCATATGCAGAAGGGTATCTATTCTCAGGTGCTCGCCGGTAGTTCACTGACACGACAATGGCCTTACAAGTGCCCACAAGACGACGACAGAGAGTGTCATATATTGCACTGTTGCAAGAGGAGTGTGCAAAGCTTCCACCGTGGAAGAAAATGATGACAGGAACTATATCGGAGCACACGGGGGTTTCAAGATTGCATAAACTGGGCTCACTTCCGTCATCAAATGCAGGCCGGTATATACGACTCAGCAGTCCGATTTCACGGTCAATGATCATGTCGAATGAGAAAACACCTTGAACTGGATTTGCATTAGCAGGGACCTTGCGATCAAGAAACTCCGCCAGGTGGCGGTTGAATGTCCCATCAGGGCGGCGTAGTAGATTGTAGGACAGCTTGAAGTTGGAGATGAGAACCCACGTGTTCAGTGGAACTACTCTCTATCAAGAAAAGTAAGGCATAAATAAACACATTGCACCATTTGCAGTTCTAAAAAATAATGATAATCTGTAGTATATGTGTTTGAAACTTGAAAGTCCTACCCTGCAATTGCAAATACATCAATGGTCCATTTGTTTGAAAGTAGTCCTACGTTCGTATAGGTTTAATTTTGGGTTCGCACCATCTGTTTGCAATTTTATGACAAACCTGGGTTTTCAGATAACCTAACTTTACTAGGAGAATCTACAAAAACCTCTAATATTCCAGATTTGTCATTCCGAAATATTCCTATCTTAACCTCAATCCAAACAAACCTTTACTACATTTACATAGGTTGACCTAATAATTACCCAAACAACATTTTTAAATATGCACATGGGTTTATCTAAGACTCTAAGTTCAACCCATTTTTACTAAATCTGGGTTCACTCAAGTTCGATGGGTTTACTTAAGTTTATTCTATTTAGAGTGTTATGCTGCCAGATGAAGAATCCATCTATAATGTTCTGCCAATTAACTATCCCCACTATTACCATTCAGCAATATATGCAATACGCCAGAAATCAGAAATAAAAACTTTATACAACGCAAATCTGATATGCTCATATGCAGATTAACTGAAGATGCGAGGGACTAGAGTGGATAATTGGGATGATTTGGTTAGGGTCTGCTTTGGGAATTCTTATTTTACTTTATTTTTTATTCTAATTTATTTACTTAACTAGGGTGGGGTGGGTAGGTCCAGATTTTCAGTCATTGATTATTAAAGTTTCCAAATTAGTATTTTAAAATTCAGAGATACAAACATTATCCCAATTTGACAATAGAGCACAAAAGAAGAAGACATGACTCACTGGTAGGACTGTGTTTAAAATAATCAAGCAGAGATAGACCACAAAGGTGTGTTGACTAACAATGGATCAAACATAAGAAAATCCACATGCTTTTGCACAGTAAATAGAATTAACAAAAATAATACCGTACCTTTGACTCACTCTTGGACTCGATCAGGGATGCTTCACTATTTCTGGCCATTGGGTATACCTCCCACCTAAATGAAAGAAAGAAACAAAACTGAAATATAAAACTAAACAGATCCCATTTCCATGAAAACCTAAAATCTCTCTCTCTCTATATATATATATAATACTCCTCCCTGGCTCCCTCCCTCCCTCTCTCTCTCTATATATGTGTGTGTGTAAGAAAGATCAGTGAATCTGTGAGTGGATCGTGTTTTGTGTATAATTGAAAGAAAAATCCTTTCAGGAAATCTCTCTATCTATCTACAATCGATCTGTTATCTATAATCTATCTGGATGTTCTATGACTAGTAGTAGAGGCTTTCTATAACAAGGACTGTATATGGCTGGCTGATTGATTGGAAAAGCTTTTGGTGAATGAAAGGGGATTTATGAGGTAGGTGAAGGATAAGAGAGAGGACACGTTAGGTGCGTGTACGCGTACAGAAACAAGTGCTAAGCTGCGGGGAGGGGAAATACGACAAGGTGATGAGCGAGAGACGACAAAGAGGGAGGCTGAAAGTGGCTGGGATTGTGGATTGTCTTTGCTTCTCTCTGGGACCCTCCCATGGATTTTGATCCATGCCCTCCAATTATGGGGTATTTTCGGTGGACAATTAAATATAGGCCATTACACCATTTGGATTTTGGAGTCCCTTGCTAGTATGAAATTCTAACTGCGGTAGTATTGGCTGATTCTGCTGATTTATTAAAAATTTATAGGGAAAATGGAAACTAATAATCCAACCTTTTAACGGTCTTCTTACAATAGTCCAACATTTCCGTTATTCGTGAATAATCCAACTTTTGCACCTCATCTTCATTCACTTGTACCTGACCAAATGATGACCTGCTATTCAAAGTTACTTTCTTATCTTTGCAATATATTATCTTTGTGAAAGGTGAGATTTATGGTATAGTGGTTTGCAAAGATAAGAAAATAACTTTGAATAACATGTCATCAATCGGTCAGGGACCAGTGAATGAAGATGAGGTGCAAAGGTTGGATTATTCATGAATAACGAAAAGGTGGGACTATTGTAAGAAGACCGCTAAAAGGTTGGATTATTAATTTCCATTTTCCCAAAATTATATTTAAAATATATTCTATTAATAAAATAAATAAATAAATAAATATATGAAAAATAACTAAAAGAGAGAATTACCGTAATAAGACTAAAACTTGGAACAAATGCAAAACTAGCACTCCTATGTTTAATTTGCAAAACTAGGACTACAAATTACCTAATTAGACAAAAATACCCTTAATGATTATCGCTCCAGTACCCAACCAGCAGACTACCATCGCCGATTACATTGCCGCATAATCCGGTCCGATAGAGCGCACCAGGTAATCTCTTCTTCCTCTTTCCCTTCTTCTTCCTTCTCCTTTCTTCCTCTTTCTTCTTCTTCGTTCTTCTTCCTCCTCTTCTTCTCACCTTCTTCTTCCAGATCCTTATTTCTTCATTTTTAAATTTGTTTATTGTTAATTCATTTACTATTTCATATTATAAATCAAAAATACTATTTTGGATATGAAAGCTTGAGATAAAAATGACAATTCGACGAACGGTCATGATCGGAAATATTTGGATTTGGATTTTTATTACTTTTTTTAGTTTTGATTAGATTTGTTTATGAAAATGCCATAAATGCTTGTTATTAGAAAAATGTCATTTTTATGTCATTATATTATATCAAGATGTCAATATTTTAATGACATGTTTTTTGAATGGATTTCCAAATGTTGTCATTTTTAGCAATATTATTTCCGAAAATGCCATTTTGTTGGAAGTTTCATATAAAGACATGACATTCTCAGTTGTAAAAAATATGAATTTTTAGATGAAAAATAATGGCAATTTAAGGATGATAATTTTGACATCATTGGGAAAACATGTCAAAAAACATGTCATTTCTAATAACAAGTAGTTATGACATTCTTAGATAACCCATAAAAAATGGGGGAAGATCCCGAAATAGGACTAAAACAGTTTGAAAATTCCAAAATAGGACTGCCAAGTTTTTTATTCCCAAAATAAGAGTAATTACTGCCATGTTTGGAAAATACTGCCATGTTTGAAGTCTGGTACTGCCAAAATATGGCAGTAATTAGTCCTATTTTGGGAATAAAAACATGGCAGTCCTATTTTGGAATTTTCAAACCTTTTTAGTCCTATTTCGGGTAATATCTCTAAAAAATGCGATAAAATGTCATAAGAGTGACATTTTCTTATGCACATATGACATTTTCATATTGTCATCCTGCTAAATATATTGTCACATATGTGGCAGTGTTTTCAAATAACCAATAATTTTGACATTCTCAAATTATAAAAGTGACATTTTGTTGAATAAATATAATTCAAATAAAAAAATCCAAATTAATATATAAAATTCAAAATCCATAAAGATTCAAAAAAGAAGAGAACAAAGGATCAGAAATTTGAAGAGGCCAGGATTAGAAGAAGAGGAAGATACCTGTAATCTTTGGAGGAACCTGCAGCAGCTTGGATTTGGAGAGCTACAATTGATTTCGCCGATGGCCTGGGAAGCTTCGATCTGGAGAGCTACAATTGATTTCGCCGATGGCCTGGGAAGCTTCGATCTGGAGAGCTGCTATTGATGGCGCCTATGGGAGAAATCACAAGAGCTGGGCGCGGAAGATATCGCAGAACAGAGCATGTGAAGTTGAGTTTAATAAGAGGAAAGGTAAAAGGGTAACCTGGAGTTCTATTTAGGTAATAAAAAACTTGAAGTCCCATTTAGGAGTTTAGTCCATGTTTTAGTCCCATTTTGGACAATTTCTTTTAACTAAAATGGTTATTTACCGCAACTTCAGCCAATATAACAAAAAAATAACTACAACCTTACTTTTTCTTATTATTACACAATTTAGTGCGCGAAATCAAAAGTTACGTGTTTGGTTAAAAAGTTGCTGATAATTAAGCCTGTTAAGCCGAAAAAATAGAGTCACCAAACGGACGCTTGGAGTGGTGTGGAGACTAAAATGTCAAAAATGGACAATTAAATATAGGTCTTATTCTCCCACTTTTGTAATCAATCTTCTCTTTTCGAGAATTTCCCTCCAATTCCATTAAAAACCGAAATAATAATGTGTTTTGTTACTTTGTACTCACTTCCATATACATAGACTATTTTTTGTACGTGAACGAGATACACAGACAAAAAAATAATCTATTCACAGGGGTGGATATAAGGTGAGTATAAGAAAGTGGATACAAATGGAGTTTTTAAATAATAATATAGATGGCGAGTTGGTCGAGCATTTATGGGGTGTTTCAATCTACTTCTTAAAACTGTTTCTGCTCCTTGAAGGAGTAGATACAAATATTAGAGTGTTTGGGTGAAAATGCAGAAGTACTTCTTATTACTATAAAAAGGATAATACCCCTTCCCTGAGGGTCCTCCAAAATCGATCAGACAGTTATACGGGAGGATGTAAGTTGAACTTTGATCACACCCTGATGAAAAGAAAGTGAGATTTCATACCAAGTCGTTGCTTGAAATTGAACTCGAGGCCTCTCCCTTGTTCTAAATTTAATAAATTACTCTTATGAACAGTTTTTTAGAAGTTGCGAAAGACCATTTCTAAAAAATTGATTATACTTCTACTTAAAAAAACAAGCAAAATCAATTGTAAACATACATAACAGGTCAGAGACTCATAGGTTCAGCTCCTCTGCCAATATCGATTTGCAAGTTATGGCTGAAGGTGTACTCTACAACTCAAGAAAATACAAAATAATGTTTAAATGTAAATCATGAGTGCTTCTAGAAAATTAAAAAAATACTACCCTTCTGTCTCATTAAGATGATCTCATTTCCTTTTCGCCGTGTCCCACTAAGGCTATGTTTGCGGTTGCTTCAACTTTTTAAAAGTGATTTTTGTAAGTGATTATTAGAAAAGTGATTTGTAGAAAAAGTAGATAGTGTTTGTAAGTAAAAGTGATTTTATTTAAAAGGTAAAAGTTGAAGTATTTGATAAAAAAGTGATTTGTGATATAATATTTTGAAAAATTACAACAACACCCTTTATTTTAAGCCTGGTAAGCGCAGATCTGGTATCATCTCTTGAATGGTTTGAAAACCAAATGTAAAAGTATAACATTTTGCTGTAAAATTACATCAAAATATCCAGATGCGGTATCATTCTAATGGTTCATTGATTTGAAAACCATATGTGAAAGATGATTTCTCCTTGGTAATATCGCGGAGTGTCAAATAAATTTGCTTGAAGCATTGCCGGCGGTAGAAATTGGCTTAACCATTTAGAAACCTATTGGGAGAATAAAAACTAAAACCCATCAAATCAAATGAATGAAAAACTAAAATACTAGAGAATTGGCTTCAAGAAGCTTCAGGGAATTGACCGGCATTTTTGAAGCCTTGAACAGGTCGATGGAGCCAGCAAGAACTGGAGAAGACGGAAAGGTAAGTTCGGACATGTGAGTAAAAGGAGCTATGGGATTATCCCCAGTGGGGCACTTCAACTTACTTACAAAATTACTTTGAAAGTGCTTTTGAGCTGCTTCAACTTTTAGCTCAAAAGCACTTTCAAATAAGTAAAAAAAAATTCTTTGCAAACACACTTTGTAGCTTTTTTCAATTCAAAAGCTAAAAAGTGCTTTTAAAACGCAATGACAAACATTGCCTACGATTATCACATAGCCAATTTGGGAAATTTTGTGTGATTGTAAATCATTTTTACTTTAATATTATTTTATCAATTAAATATCAACCACATAAATTTATTATTTTATAATTGTGTCACCTCCTCATCTCCCATTGTTAGTGGACAGAAGTGGTACTAAAATATGCAACCATTAGTGTGTCATTACCTCTTTCAGTTGTCGTTGTTTATTGCATTGGACTTTTTTTTAACAACTTTTGACATAATTTCCAATAAAGTTTATATGATTTGTAGGAGAGATTTGTACACTTTATACATTCGTATGTGTGCACAGATAACTTGAGAAGTGCATGAATAAGGAAATATAAGTGCATCCAATATATGTACTGTCTGAAAGTGAAAACAATAAATAATAATTTCTCATTATGCGAAGTTATATCAAATGCAGAATAAAAGTAGGGATACATGATTAGAGATTAGTGAGCAAACTCAATTACTCAAAAAAAAAAAAAACTATAATATAGTGAATAATAGAAGACACTAAACTTTCAAAAAAAAAAATAGAACACACTAAAAATTCACATTGCATGAATACCTAAAAAAGCCCTGATAGGAACAAATCACAATTTGACTATTAAAAAAAGTTCTGCAATACATGGTTTCAATGGTAGAAAAAATAAACAAAGAAATAAAAACAACAAACTTCTCCAATCATTTTAAAAATAATGAAAAGATAAACAAGTACTACGTAATAATCATGAATCCACATTAAATACTTCCTTCGTTCTTTCTGAGTTGCAACGGTTAACATTTCACACTTGCCAATGCACGTCTTTGACCGTAATTATATCTTAATCTCTATTAGTAAAAAATATTCAAAAATTAGTTTTTGAAAATTTGTAATGAGATGAATTGAACAATACTTTTTTTAAAAAATAATTTTCATAAAATAATAATATAAAATGTAGTCAAAGTAGAACATGTAAATAGTGTAAAATTCAACATCTTGCGATTAAAATTGAATAGTATTACATAGCACATCAAAGTATAGTATGGGTTTGAGTGGTCTTTTGCAATTCATCATTACGGAGAAGTTGCCAGGGCTTTCACGACGCA